GATGGAGATAGAACGGTGACAAAGCAGCCTTCTCCGCCATTGTTATCATGTTGTTGCCGCCTTCCGCGACCATATCACCACTTTTTGTTGTCGTTTCATTGTTTCCACCTCCCACCATCTTTCTTCTCTTCTATGCTTTGATTGAGTTTTCTAGGATCGCTCTGATACCATGATAAAGAGTGAAGAGAATGTTCTGCCGTCTCTTATTCCATATGAATAGCTTATATACCAAATACAAGTCTCAAGCTAACCCTAGGTATTATGGAATGTTTACATAATTAGAGATATAGTAATATATTATATGTTATTTACATAGGTCTCTCGAATAAGAAATTCCTGCAGGAAATTTTTAGAATGGATTATTAGTTTTGAAGCCACATTAACAGATGAAATTAGCCAGATTTTTTTTTTAAAAGTTTTACCTTTTCATCCATAAGTAGAAGATCGATTCCTCTTAACCCATTTGATCTATCTTTTCTTAGAAATTCCCAAATAGGGCAATGTGAACTTTGACTTTACATACTTCATTCGCCAAAGTAAGTTGTGAAAATCAAAAGACATATTGAATGGAATACGATGCTCAAATCCTGTAATTGTGCATAAAAATTAAATGAAAATTCGTTGGTTACAAAAAAATGTTATCGAATTATCAGTTTCAAGGGGTTGGGAACTTGGGAATGAAATTACCGTTGACCTGATTTTGTGAAGGATTTTTTTATTGAATCGGTAGACGTTTCCATATGAAGTACGGCACACATAGGTTAAAAAACCATAGTAAAAACATTTGGATAAGAAAAACTAAATTTAAAAGAAATTGGTGGAAGAACAATTTACCTTCACGAAGAAATTATTTGTTGGTGAAAGCAAAATGAAAGAGTTTAAATTCTAAACGAAAAGGAAAAGAGGTTTAGAGCTTACAGAAGGGATCGTGGTCTCGTGAGAATTGTGAAACGGTTCGGTAAATTTGTTTTTTGTGATATTGTTTTTTCAGAATTTTTATGGCGAAGACACGTCATCGAAAGCTTATGTGTCAAAAGGAGAGTGTTTTAAGTTTACTTGTGTTTTAGTAGATAAAAATGTTAGATACACATTTTTTTTAAGTGAAATTTGAAAGACTAGCTTTGGGAGCTTGTTTTTTTTAGAAAGTTTTAGCTTTGGGAGCTTGTTAAATGTCTCTCCCTTTTTTTTTTTTTTTCGTCTCAGATATACAGTTTCTAATTTTGTTTTAACCTAACATCATGAACCTTTTTTCTTTTTCGAAATAAAATGACCAAAAAATGTAAAATACAAAAACATCAATTGGAAGGTAAAGTAACCATTGTTTCAATAGGTGTTCTATGCATGTAATTATTTTTCAAATGTGAAAAACTGAAAATAAATCGAAGAAAACAGAGAACAAGTTAGCCAAAAAAACAGAGAAAATGTGTATCGAGAAATTGTTCTTCTTGATTGCGGTGACGTTTGCTTTGGCGTGGAGTGGAGAAGCTTCACCATTGAGCTGCGATTGGACTCCGAACGTCACAGCAACTCAAGACGGTACCGGCAACTACCTAACCATCAAAGAAGCATTGAGTTCTGCCCAGGACTACAACAATTTCAGGTTCGTCATACACATAAAAGAAGGTGTCTATATGGAGAATGTAGTTATTATATTCTGAAACATTAAGACCATCATCACCGGTAGACTGTATAAAGCTGACAATCTAAGTTTGAAAACATTTTAAACAAAAACATTATGTAGGTTTAAGTAATTTCCAGAAAATGGTTTGATTTACTATAGTTTAGTCATAATTATTCTGGGTATGTTATCTGTTTTTCTAGTTGTTAGAAAAAGTGGGTTTATCGTAAGGAATATTAGGGTTATTAACATAACTGAATATGTGTAGTAATGAAATATTCATTTATTATTCCATATATGTATATATATTAAATAAAATGAAATGCATTATATAGTAAAAAATAACAATTATATGCCAGCAAAATGAAAATTTTGAGCAAACAAAAAGAAAAATTTGGGCAAACCTTGTAAACTAAGTATCACACTTATTTACGACAAGTTTTTTGGGTTCCAAATGATACATATATTCTATAAGTAAACATTAACGAATGATAATAGCAACTAAAGTTATTGTTATTATGTTATCTAATTAAGAAAAACTAATTAAATTGAGTTGGTTTTTATGTTAGGGTCAATTTAACGAATATACATTGGATGTGATTCGTGTAAATTAGAGTAAAAGTGAGGAAATATAAGAAAAAGGAAAAAAAGAAGGGAATGAATGGAAAATCTCGCTCGACTTTTATTTAGCTGAATAATTTACTCTACTTTAAGTTAA